ACTCTATCTCTAAAAAAAAACCAAAAAACTGTGCTTCAAAGCTGGGCATGGTGTTGCACCTGCAGCTGTAGTCCCAGCTACATGGGAGACAGAGGCAGGAGGATTGCTTAAAGGAAAAACCAAACATTTTTTTTTTATGCCAGTGAGAGGTGGCTTAGCATCACTCTTGAGAGCCAGGTCTGGGCATCTGCTCAGATTAGGCCATGTGCAGAGATCTCCAAAACCATAAAGGCACTGCCAGCCTCTGCTTGGCCTAAACCTCTCCCCAGTAGTGTAAAGGTTGTTCTACAGAGGGCCCCTGTTGTACTATACAGCTGAGCATCAGGGCTCCATGGCCAGGAGACCCTGAAAGCCCCCTCAGACTATAAACCTGACCTGAGGGTGTTACTTCTCCCAGTTGTCCATGGGCATTTCTGATGGCCTTCCCTGTGTCCAGCTGCCACCTCTCCCCTAGCACAGTGACCTCACTCTCACAGCACCTAGGCAGCAGCTCTCTTGAACTGCATTGAGCCCTGTGGTTCTGAAGTCAGGGTCTGCTCTGTGACAGCTCCTAGCCTGAGTGACAGTGCCCATGGTCCTGCCTGGGATGCCCATGAGTTCCAGGGGGAAGAAGCACTGCTAAAGCCGGGCACTGCAGTGAAAGTCTCGGGGCCTGGCGCCAGGAGATGGCAGCCAAGCTCAGACACACCTCGGAAAGGCCACCCCCACCTGGCCATCACAGCCACCACATTCTGCCCACACAGTGCCTGCCAGGGCTCCGGAGCACAGCCTCTCACCCCTCAGGCAGACTGGGGAGAGGGTGGTGTAAGTGCTGCCAGAGGCCCGCTGGCCTTTACAACCTCCCACTCAGAGCTGTGTGAGCTAAGAAGGGAGTCCCGAGGACAGAGCCAAGCAGAGTAGCCGAGCGTGCTGCATCCAGAACAGTGGCTGTAAGCCAGGGTAACTCCAGGGTAACTGTGGCCCTCGGAGGACTTTTGTGTGTCACAGCTGGGGCTGTGGCACTAATGGTAAAAAATAGAGGCCAGGGATGGTGCCCATGGCCCAACACACAGGTCCCCATGTCAGCACTGCCACGTGAGAGGGGATGCCCTGAAGCCAGAGTCGAAACCTCCTGGGAAGAGGTGGCCTGGTCACAGCGTGCCCAGTTAGGACTTCAGATGACAGGACAGTTTGGACAGAAGCATGGATGACAGTAGCAGCTGCAAGGTTTGGGGTGTGATCTATGCATGGGAAGCTTACCATGGGGACAGGCAGGAGGGGAGGGGCTGCTTTGGGGTTGAGTGTGGACTGAGACAGGAGGATCCCAGGACCTTCCACATCCAGGTGTGGAGAAGAGAAGGCTCAGCTGAGAGTGAGACAGGCCCGCAGGCTCTGGCGGTGGTCTGGGAGGAAACACAGGGACGAGGAAGAGGATAGAGCTGCCCTGGGGGTGGTACGGTCGGGGTGGAGGGGAGAGGGCTCTGGGCTGTAGGAACAGGGTGCTGCTTGGGTATTTCCTGAGGGAGTCCTCTAGGATGCCACCAGTGAGCAGCTCAGCCTGCAGTATGGAGCACAAGGGTTCTGGAAACATCCACTCTCTAGTGACTGGTCAAGGAGAATGGACAGAGAGGCACCCGTGTTTAGATATAGGCAGAAGACAAGCCAGGGAGACAGGCCAGGACAGAGCAGCATGAGCAGCAGGCAGCAGGGGCTTCTTCCCACAAGGGAAGGTGCAGAGGGGCTGTGTGGGGCTGGGCCCTCTCAGGGGGTGTGTGGGGTGGCTGCCCACACGTATGTGGAGGCTGAACATCTTCAGGAGTCCCCAGAGCAGAGTTCAGAGGCAGCAGTGGGCACGTGGAGCAGGGCCACCGTGGGTTGCCCCTGAAGAGCATGGGCCATGGCCAGCCCAGGTTCAGTCTCAGGTTCCTCATCTCTGACAGGGGTGAACACCAGGCCTTGCTGCAGAGGGCTGGCTGGAGTTGGGTCCAGCTCCGGCATGTGGCTAGACAGCAGAAAACAGCTACACAGGGCAGTAGTTTCCTAATGACTAATCGTGATGTGGGATCATTTTGAAAATGATGTCATTTTGGACAAAATCTGCAAGTGTAAAAATGGCAGTTAGGGTATTTCAGGGACTTGAAGGAAGGCGAAATTGCTGATTCCCAAGCACTGTCTGTGCCCTCGACAGTGCCTCTCCATCAGCACACACCCCAGTGTCACGTACACCCTCCGCCCACGGTCACTGGCCCTGAGGCCAGAACCCCTGTCTCACAGGGCACCCACAGTCATGTGTGTCACCTCTGAACATTTCAGGGTCTGAGAGGATGGTGCTGAGTTAGCACTTCCATCTTAGCAGAGGGCAGCCAGGTGCAGGGAACGGCTCAGCTGTGTCCAGACTGGCTCTGGTGGTGCAGGAAGGGCCTTCATGGAGCCTGGCTCTGCTCATTGCCCTGCCAGCCCATCCACCCATGGGCATGAGGCCCCTGCCTGCAGCACACCCCGAGCAGCATGCCTGCCCCGTCTTCAGCATAGCCCCAGCCTCGTGTCTGTCCTGGCCACAACATGGCCTGAGCCATGTGTCTGCCCTGCCTGCAGGATGCCATGTGGCATGCAGCAGAATCTCGGGATGTGGAGCTGGCTGAGAATTTACTGTGGTGGTTCCTGGAGGAAGGCAGACAGGAGTGCTTCGCAGCCACGCTCTTCACCTGCTACGACCTGCTCCACCCGGACGTGGTGCTGGAGCTGGCCTGGAGACACAGTGCCATGGACTCTGCCATGCCTTACTTCATCCAGGTGATGAGGGAGTACCTGAGTGAGGTGAGCTGTGGCTTCCTGCCACCTGGCCTGCCTGCAGGAAGGGCCTCTCCCTTCACACTCAAGTGGTTCCTTCCCACCCACCTCTCTGCAGCACCTGCTTGCCCCTCCAGCCATGCACTTGTCCTCCTTCCAGCCAGTGGAGACTCCCAAGCTGCTCAGGTTGAGACTTCTTTCTGTGGTGCACAGACTAGTGAGGGGTAGAAATCAGAGGGCCCTAGTGCTGCTGGCTCTGCCTGGGAGGGCTTGAGGGCTGCCTGCACCCACAGAGCCTCTGAGAAGCTACTTGGCCCTTGTGAGGGCCACCCCAAAGGGCATTCAAGACCATCAGCCTGCTGTAGGAGAGTGACCTGGTCCCATCTGCACAGGACACCTGAGTATGAGGCTCCCTGATGATTTTCAAGGGGCAGGCAAAGGGTATCCCTGACCACGTGGCTTAAAGTGTGTGGGTGCCAGAGGACACAGATGGGTCACAATCACTCTTCAACCACAGTAGATGGCCACTCCCTACAGGGGATTTCTGTGCTGTGTGTAGTTTGCCTTTGGAAATTGCTCTCACCCTCAGTGAGCTGCTTTTCCCATCCCTAAAGTGTCTCAACCTGAAAGCAGTCTTTTCTGAGAACCTCTTTAAGAAGGATGAGTGTGGGGTGGCACCTGTGGTTCAGTGGGTAGGGCGTTGGCCTCATATACCAAGGGTGGCGGATTCAAACCAAGCCCCGGGCAAACTGCAACAAAAAAGAGCCAGGTGTTGTGGCGGGTGCCTGTAGTCCCAGCTACTCAGGAGGCTTAGGCAAGAGAACCGCCTAAGCCTAAGAGCTGGAGGTTGCTATGAGCTGTGATGCAATAGCATTCTACCAAGGGTGACAAAATGAGACTCTGTCTCTAAAAAAAAAAGATGAATGTGAAGGCCAGGCACGGTGGCTCATGCCTGAAATCCTAACACTTTGAGAGGCCAAGGCAGGTGGATTGCCTGAGCTCACAGGTTCAAGACCAGCCTGAGCAAGAGTGAGACCCTGTCTCTAAAAATAGCCAGCATTGTGGTAGGCACCTGTAGTCCCAGCTACTCAGAAGGCTGAGGCAAAAGGATCACTCGAGCCCAAGAGTTTGAAGTTGCTGTGAGCTATGATGCTGCAGCACTCTACCAAGGGTGACAAAGTGACACTCCTGGAAAAAAAAAAAAAGGATGAGTGTGGCCTGAATCTCCTCTTGGCAATAGAGGCCCAACAATTAACATAAGAGGACCTTAGGCCCACCCAGACCTCAGAGGTATCACTGCTTGCAGGGGTTTGACTAGCAGGACTTTGGGGAGCACGTTCCCTTTCTCTGGTGGATGATGAGTTCATCCCTGCAACCCTTGTCAGCATGGGCCATACTGTGGCTGCACAGCCAACTCAGGGTTATCATTAGCCTGGGGTTCCCAGACTCCTTCACTATCCCTCACAGGTGATGACTGCTACCTGTTCCTGCCAGGGCCAGACAAAACACTTGTCATGGGAGGGTCAGGGAGAAAAGGGGGCCAACCCTTTGAGACATCCCTGTGACATTCTCTCAGTACATTCTTCTTGTAGGCCCCACCTAGAGCGCTTCCCTGGGTGTCAGCGAGCTGGCACCCAGAGAGGGCAGACTGCAGGGCCAGCCTACCAGTCACACTCCTGCCTCACCACTGAGCCCTGCACTGGGGTGGCTCTGACCAAGGGCAATGCCTGGGGAAGCCTCGGGGAAGAGTAAGAAGGCATCTAGTCCTCAAATATCTCTCAGGAGAAGAGTCTGAGGTGCCTGGTGTCTCATCTCCTGAGGACCACATGATCTGCATGATCTGTCTGCCGGTCAGGAGGGGCAGACAGCCCAGACTCATTGGCCAGACTCAAGCAGGCAGTATTCCCTGCATGCTGCTCCAGCCCTGCAGGTCAGGAAGGAGTGTGTCCGTGTGTTTGGAGGAGGACCTGGCCCCATGAGCCAGGCCACACTCAAAGCCTGCAGCCACTGCTGTTGCGGTATCCCTTTCTCAGCCCTGCTGCAGCGGCTCACCTCAGCCTGGGCCTTGCTGCACTTGCAGTGTGCGTGGGGTGTGGTGCTAGCCACTCCACTGCAGAGGCCAGCTGCAGTCAGGTGGGCGCTCACGTGCCCTCTCCTCCTTTGCAGGTGGACAGGCTGTATGCCTCGGAGAGTCTGCAGAAGGCAAAGGCGCATGGGGCAGAGCCCATGCCACTCATGTTTGGTAGGTGGCACTGGCTGCACCTAGCAGGGAGGAGATGGGAGGTGATTAATTTTGCTCTTCCCTGGCTGGGCTTCAAATGGGAATAGAGATGGATGGGTAGGAGCTAGAAGGACCCCAGTGGCTGCCAGATGTGGAGGTGTGTGTCTAGGAATGTTTGCATGGCCACTGTCCTCCCTGCTGTGAGGGTATCTGCATTCTGAAGAGGGTCCTGCCCTACCTGGCTGGCCGTTGAGTGCCAAGGCTGCTACTGGCATGTGCTGAGAGGGGCTTTGCACCTGAGAGCCTACCCTGAACAGCCTGGCCATCAAACAGACTGGAGAGGCTGTGGGGTGCTGGAAAAGCTGCAGAGCTAACACAGGCCTGAGTGTGCCACACACCAGCTTGACTCAAGCTCCTGCTGAGTGTGCCTACCCATCATTAATGCCAATCTGGTCTTTCTAGATTTTGATGGGCATGAGTGAGACCCAGCTGGTTGAGCTGAGTAAGTGCCCCATGTCAGGACTAGCTTGCCCTCTAGCCTGGCCCCACACCAGCAACGCTCACACTCTTTGCCTCCCAGTGCCTCAGCCTTGGGGTGGTCAGGGCTGGTCCTGTAGACTGTGCTTCTTGGGCCCATCGCTACTCAGGGGCAGCCAGGAGAGGACTCATGGACAGCAGGAGCTCTGCTCACTGCAGGCATCTCCCTCTGCAGGCCAACAACTGATGCTGACAGCAGGCCCTGCTACTGTCCCATCCCCTGCCGGCCTTTCCTATGGATACACTGTGCTCCTCCTGCCTTTGTCCAGCCTCCTGTGTGCAGCTTCATTGTGTAGTGGCACTGTCCTGACCCCCGCTCTATCCGATTACTAACCTCTCCAAGGAGCCTGTCACTTTCGAGCACAGAGGACCCCAACAAGAGGCAAGAATACCAGGACATTATTTTTGCTGAAGCCCGATGATGGCAGCCTAGTCTAAGGCATTCTGGAGCCTGAGGAAGCCGGGGTAGACACTGACTGCCCAAGACTAGCTTCAGCCTCCAGCAGGGAGGTGGGCCTCTGGCTGGAATCAGGCATTGCCAGGGAGGTTCTTGTCTGCAAGGATTCCCTGCACCTTGGGGGAAGAGGCAGCCTCTACCCCACACTGGCTAGAACTGCTTTTTCCACGCCACTTTGAAGACACAACGTGAACACGTCTTGTATGGAGCCTCCTGCCCATCACGAATATTAAAGTTGGTTTATCAAGGCAAAGCTTCTCTGCTTGGTGCTGGTGTGGGTAGGCGGGGACAAAGGCCAATTTTATAGCCCTGCGGCCTGCTAAAGATTCGCGGAGACCTTTGGGGGCGGGGAACCTGTGTCTGCCCATGGAGGCTGCCAGGGAGAATACATCCGGGTTATACTTGGAGTCTTTTCCCCTGAGCTCTAAATCTAGGAGAGGGGCAGGGGTGGAAACTGCACAATCGGGTGGAACGTCCGAAAGCCAAACCCTCAGACCGGAGGGACCGGGCTAGCTAGCACGTGTCTCGGGGACGGTCCGCCCCGCTCGCCTCTGGAATCCCCGAAGGTCTGTCCTTTCTCTGCAGACGCGCAGACTCCGAGGCCCGCTCCTCCCCGCGCGGGTCCCCAGTCCAGGAGCGTTGGAGTCACTGCACCTTGACCCACAGCTCCGGGCCAGGACACTGTACCGCCTCCCTCAGGCACCACCCCCAGCCCCGCCTCGCGGTTTCCCAGGACTCCACTGCAGCCATTGGCTGCCCTCCGGGCCCCGCCCCGACGCCTGCCTCGCCGCGCTCCGCCCCGGCCTCAGTTTCCCAGACGGTCCGGGGCGGGCAGGGGGCGGGGCCCGGCTCGGACCACACGGGGCGGAGCCCGGGAGCCGACGCGCCGCCCCGCCCCCTAGACATAACCGGCAGCCGCGGACCGAGCGCCCAGTGCCGGAGGCTCGGACCCGAGGCTGCCGCCGGGCTCCCCGCCTCCCGCCCGCCATGGCTGTGCCTCGCGCCCCCAGCGCTCTGGCGGCTGCCGCGCCCGCGTCCGGGAAGGCCAAGCTGACACACCCGGGGAAGGCGATCCTGGCGGGTGAGCCCCTGCGGGACGCGGATCCCGACCCGCCGGCCGCTCCGCGCCGCGCTTCCGGATGGGCCCGGGACGCCGAGGCCCGCCTCACTTCCGGGTTGGGCCGGGGGCGTGGGGGGCGGCACTGTCCCGCACCCCACGCACGAGGGTCGCCCCGCTCCGAGACTGCGGGGTAGGGGCGTGGGTCCTGACCCAGCCTCTTAGCTGCACTGGGACAGTGGCGACGCCGGGCAAAGTCCGGGGCCGGGGAGGGGCCGGGCGTCTGGGTCGGGGTCTCAGCACCTGGTGCCCGGTGCCCACAGGCGGCCTGGCAGGAGGGATCGAAATCTGCATCACGTTCCCCACCGAGTACGTAAAGACGCAGCTGCAGCTAGACGAACGCTCGCACCCGCCGCGGTACCGGGGCATCGGTGAGGAGGGGCGGCCGCGGGGCAGCAGGCGGCGGGGCGGTCGCGCGGGCGGCGGGGTCCTGACCGTCCCCTCCCCTAGGGGACTGCGTGCGGCAGACGGTCCGCAACCACGGAGTCCTGGGCTTGTACCGCGGCCTCAGCTCCCTGCTGTACGGCTCCATTCCCAAGGCGGCCGTCAGGTGAGGCCCGGCCCGGGAGGCCGCGGGAGGGTCCCGGCGGCGGCGGCCCTTCCACCCCCCTCTCACCTTCCCTGCCTCCGGCCTCCCGCCTCCAGGTTCGGAATGTTCGAGTTTCTCAGCAACCACATGCGGGACTCCCAGGGACGGTTGGACAGCACTCGGGGGCTGCTGTGCGGTCTCGGTGCCGGCGTGGCCGAGGCGGTGGTGGTCGTGTGCCCCATGGAGACCATCAAGGTGAGGAAGGTGCCTGCAGGAGACAGGCATGCGGGGACGGCCGGCAGGAGGTCCTGTACTCCACGGAGACCGCCAAGATGGGGAGGGGCAGGCGTGCAGAGGCACTGGGGGCGGGCTGGAAGGGCCTCTCCAGCCCACTGTCCTGCAGGCCAAAGGAAGACCATACGAAGCTCTTTAGAAAATTATTTACCAGCAGGGCAAGGTAGCTCACTCCTGTAATCCCAGCACTCTGGGAAGCCGAAGAGGGTGGATCGCCTGAGCTCAGGAGTTAGACCAGCTTGAGCAAGCATCTCTACTAAAAATAGAAAAACTGGCCTTGTGGGGGGGGGCCCATTGATCCCAGATACTCAGGAGGCTGAGGCAGGAGGGTCACTTAAGCCCAGGAGTTTGAGGTTGCTGTAAGCTATGATGCCAGGGCACTGTACCCAGGGAGTCTCTGTCTCCAATATACACACACATATGTATATATAAGCAGAAAACATAAAATAACAATTTTGCTGTCAAACTGTGGAACTTAAGGGTGGACTGTCCTTCATCAGGTGGCAGGCAGGCCCTTGTGTTCTTGGTATATTTGTGTCTCAGGTGGCCTTGGGCAGTGCTGCTTGCCAGGTGGAGACCTGCACCCCAGCCCTTAGTAGGGCCTGGTGGGCTCTGGGCCTGCTCACTGGGGGGGCCAGGTGTGTGCCCTTCAGGTGGTGGCTAAGAACTAGCATCTTTGCTTTCCTCTCTCTCAGGTGAAGTTCATCCATGACCAGACCTCAGCCAACCCCAAGTACAGAGGGTTCTTCCACGGGGTTAGGGAGATAGTGCGGGAACAAGGTGAGCCCCCAGCCTTCCTCCTTAGGGTCAGGCCTCAGCCAAGCTGGAAGGGACCACACTTCCCTTCTTGCCTTGGCTCTCCCATCTCAGCTGGGGCCTGGGCAATGCCAGTGTGACCCTGTGCCTGCCTGCCCTCAGGGTTGAAAGGAACATACCAGGGCCTCACAGCCACTGTGCTCAAGCAGGGCTCCAACCAGGCCATCCGCTTCTTCGTCATGACCTCCCTGCGCAACTGGTACCGAGGTGTGTCCATGCCAAGGACACTGGGACGGGTGGGGGCATCTGCTCAGGCTTTGGTCCAAGCTCTGCCCCAGATCTCAACACCCCACGCCCCTTTACCCTCCAGCACCCTCTGACCACACTCCTCCCCCTACCCAGGGGATGATCCCAACAAGCCCATGAACCCCCTCATCACAGGGGTCTTTGGAGCTATCGCAGGCGCAGCCAGTGTCTTCGGGAACACTCCTCTGGATGTGATCAAGACTCGCATGCAGGTGGGATGGGCCTGGCGCGGGTGGAGGAGCTCAGGCTCAGGCTGCAGCTGACTGCTCAGCTTTGGCCTCCGGGTGTCCCATAGGGCCTGGAAGCGCACAAATACCGAAACACGCTGGACTGCGGCCTGCAGATCCTGAGGAACGAGGGGCTCAAAGCGTGAGTGGGGGAGAGGAGGGGCCGCCGTCTCCTCTCAGACCCTCCCTGGCTGATGCAGCCTGCCCCAGGCACCTTTAGCATTCTATTCTTTCCCTCCCACTTCTGGGGTTGCCATTCCCAGGGACCCTGCCCTTCTCTGCCTTGCTTACCTCTAGCCCCTCCCCTCACCCAGATTCTACAAGGGCACTGTCCCCCGCCTGGGCCGGGTTTGCCTGGACGTGGCCATCGTGTTCATCATCTACGATGAGGTAGTGAAGCTGCTGAATAAGGTGTGGAAGACAGACTGAGCTAGAGGGCACACATGAGGCCTGCCGGGCTGCAGCACAGCCCACGCCCTGCCTCTCGATTCCAGTGCAGTAGTGCCAAAAGGCCCCTCCACTTCCCTGAGTCTGTGTGCCCATAGTGCTGTGGATCCCCTGTAGTCTATATGTGATACCACCATTGTGTCCATGTGTCTGGCCATGGTTGGGCATCCCTCTGGCTGTGAGTCTGTGCCCACGTGTCCATGTGCTTCCTTGTGAGACCTGTTGCCTGTGTTTTGTGTTCTGTGTCATGTGACCCTGTGCCCCACATCCTGGGGTGCCCATGCGGCCTGGATCCGCGGCCCTGTAGCCATGGCCGGTTCCAGCCCGGTGCCTTCCACCCTGCCCTGGCCTACCACAGCTGCCTCCGGGCCTCAGCCTGGCTTCACCACATTCCAGGGGCTGCATGCCCCTCGCTTCTCCCGCCATTGGCCTTAACTGGCCCTCGGGCCCTCCCTCCGCCCGGGACAGGGTGGCACCCGCCACTCTCAGGACCACCCTGCCAAGGCAGAATAAACCGGATCCTGTTGCAGCCTAGTGCCCCTGGATCCATCTCTATGTGGGCCCATCAGTGGGTGGGCAGCAGTGGCTGAACCTGTGCAAAAGGCCAGCCCATCCCCCACCTGCAGCAGAGGAACAGGGATTGTCCACGGTCCACCAGGGCTAGCACAGCTGAAGCTACAGTGTTGGCTCCCTGAGAGGCCCAGCACCATGACAAGAAGGATCTGGGCTGCATCCAGGCCTTCACTGTGGTCTCAAGATCCAGCAGGGTCAGTTGAAGGGTGTGTTCACGAGGCCTCAGGGTGGCCTGGCAGAAAGCACAACTGGGCAGAGGG